TGAGAAATGACTATGTGGATTAAGTCCAAGGTTCATGCTTATGCATTAAATATTATATATAAACATCATATTATCATAGTTCAAATAGCTTTTTCTCAGTTCAGGGTAAAAAAATTACCTTTTCTCAATTTTGTATTTTTTGAATCTTGTGTTTCTATTTATTTAAATTGTGCAATCTTTATTTATTTTATCAGCCAAAATCCTTGAACAGGAGATGACGATTGAAAGGCTTTGGTGCATTTTGCTTATTATTGTAAGTAAGAAATATGTTTTGGACATTATCAACTGCTATCCATTTATTATTAGTTTATAAAAAAAAAAGTATATATAATATATTTAAAATTAATTATAGGGACCAGTGTGATGGCCCGCTATATATACATTTACCAAGTTATCCACTGCTCCCATTTTAACATGTTTTGAGTGAGAAAAGTTTTAAATAACTACAACTGGTTTAAAATATTCCTCTCTACAGGTTTTTACCAATACATATCGTATGATAGTAAAATGGAGATAATATATTTTTAAAGGATTATAAATCACATGTAAATACAAAAACCATAGGATAGTTATTCCATGATAACCATGTGTCTGGAAGATGAGAATTTACAGTCTATATGTCTATGAGATGCACACCGTCTGATTGGAGCCCCAACACAGAAATCTTTATCCCCACTAGCTTCTCAGACACATTTAGTAGCTATATAAAGACTCCTGCAGAACTGGTGATACTTACCCCAGTTGGCGCTTACTGTTAGGACAACAGTAAATACTCTACTCTCTGGGTAGTGAACTCCACCATCACTAGGAGAAAAAGAAAATGTAATAAAGCTTAATGCATGAAACATTTCAGAGATGGGAAATCTCACACATCTACATTTCACATGAATGTCTGCTTCTTTCAATAAGCTCAGCCAGTAAAGCTGCAGTTCCATTAATTAATCATCTCTAATATAAAACAGCAGTAAAATAGTTTACCTTATGAAAGGCAGAAAAGCCTTACTGTGTCCTAAAATCACAGAGATTATATAGGTGGTGCCAACTCCAAGAAAGGTCCACACGACAAGAAGGAATGGCAATAAGGCTAAACTTGCCATTCTCATATAATAATATGCACAACACACTCAGTGAACAAAACAATTCCAGGAATGAGTACAGCTTGTTGCTGAAGTCTCACAATGAATGCAGTGAAGTATATCTGCCTGGCAATGTATAGTTTCACATTTGATAATGACATCATGACATGACTGTGATGTCAATGGAATTGTCACAGTAAATGCTTTAAGGTGAA